ACCCAACTCATGTCATTCAGGAAAACATCCATCAATTAAGTAAAATCATCAATCAAACATGGAATGTGTCACATACATCAAAATTAAACCCAAATCTAGACCTATGGTTCTTAAACCAAGAGAAGAGGGTGAGTTTCTAGAGAGAGAAGAGAGAAATTACAAATTGGAGCGCAAGATCTTCTTCTTCTTTTTCTAGGCTTGAATCCTTGTCTTCAAGATCAACCCAAGCCTCCAATTAAGCTCCAAGATCACTCAAGCACTCTCCCTCTCTCTCTCTCTAAAACTGCCCTTTGGTGTTTTAGGTTGAAACCCTAGAGAAAGAAACTATTTCCTCTCCCAAAAACCAACTCTCTCTTTCTTCCTTCTGATGCTGCCTTTTATAACGAGATCGAAGGTTGTTTACGGTCTGAGTTCACGGTCGTGAACTCGAACCAATTCGCGTCGTTTCACTACAACACTTCACGGTCTAGAGCTGAAGTTCAGGGTCTTACGACCGTGAACTGACTTGGCATCAGTTACCTCTGGAATGGCTCTGGAACCCGACCAGTTCACGGTCACGGGGCAATTGTCACGGTCGCTTTGGGCATTTTTTCACTTTTTCGCACTTTTCGACCTCCAATCAACCTGAAACTTGTCCTCGACCTTCCCACACGTACTAGGACCTGAAATGTATCAAAACAAACACAACCTAGCGTAAAATAGATCGAGAGACGGTGATCTACTAAGCAAAACGGACAAGAAACGAGGGGTAAAATGTGTGCATTTGGACCCGAATACAATCACATTTATTCAACCAAATTAATCAGAAAAAATCATTAACCCACTTTCTTATGTATTTTCTTTATTGCAACATTCAAATTCCAACCCATTAACTTTGAGAACCTTTTCGGGATGTTGCCTAAACGGCTAAACCAGAGAGAGTATGATGCAAGAGAGGAGTTGGGGGACCGACAAAGGAGAGGAATCGTCGTTGCCGGCGCAGAGAAAGAAGCTTAACCTCAAAACTCAACGAACATGTTGTTGGCGCTGGAGAGAAACTTACTGCGAAGGAGAAGCTGTTCACCGGAGTGTTGTTCGGGGAAAATAGGAAAGAAGGATCGATGGTTTGACTTTGATGTTGTGCGTGAAGAGGAAAGAATTTGAGGGGCGGAGGTCTTCCCATGGAGGAGGGACAATTACTAAAAGAATAACTCAAATTTTTTAATTCTTTTTTGTTTTTCGCTTAAAAGTTATATAATAAATGAGAGAAGAGGGGGCGATATAGTCATTATGCGTGCCTTTTAACATCTAACTGACGGAATTAGTAACAAAAGGATATCTTTGTTACGTTGTACTGATAGGAAAAGTTTAAATTTTTACCAATTAAGTAAATTTGATAGAAATCTCTAAACTATAACTTGTATTATGTAAAATATTAACAAAAAAGTGAACTATCTCGTAGTTAAAAGATCTTTCTTGTAAAGAATGTGGTTAGACCGGGTGACTTCGGTTTAGAGTATTTTGCTTCGGGTATACCACGAGTATTCTGCTGGTGGTTACCTAGTGTTCATTTGGCTTAGGAGTGAATTGACGGGAATTTTAATAAGAATTCAACATATTATTGCTCCTTTATGAAATATTTGGCTAGAAGGGTTGCTGTCAAACTTCACTAACCAGTGAAAGTGATTGCAATTGGGAGGCAAAGTAGAAAGATATGCAATGGAGGCAAAGTCGCAAGTGTGGAGTAGTAGTTGCAATTAGGGGTGTCAGTTCGGGTCGGGTTCGGTTACCCAAACCAAAACCCGAAAAAACCCGAAAACCCAAAACCGAAAATTACTAAAACCGAACTCGAACCCGATAAGGACTTGCGGGTTCCGGTTACCCGAAACCCGAAAATTTCTTATCGGGTTTGAATTCGGTTAAAGCAAAACCGAAACCCGAAAACCCGAACACCTAAAAATACAGACTGAGTTCTATTCATTGGAGGTTTTTAGCCGAAACCCGAAAAACCAATAAGCAAAACCGAACCCGAAACCCAAAACGAATCCGAACCCAAAAAACTAAAAATTTATATAATCGGGTCGGTTTTGGATAAACCGGTTTCGGGTAAACCCGAAAAACCGAACTCGAATCGACACCCCTAGTTACAATGATGGGGCGGGTTGTCGCTAGGGCTGCAAATGAGCCAAGCCGCTCGCGAGCAACTCGGCGTTCGAATCGGAAAAAATTCGTTCGACACTCGACTCGTTATTTAACAAGCCGGCTCGCGAGCCAACTCGTTAGTTAACGAGCCAAGCCTGAGCTAGACCATGCTCAGCTTGATAAGCTCGCGAGCTAGCTTGATTCGGTGGCTTGTCGAGCTAAGCTCGCGAGCTGCCTTGTTTTGAGCTTGTGGAAGGATGAATTACTCTTTTAAACATGAACATTGTCTTATAATACAGATGTGTATGAAATTTAGATGTTATTTCTAGTTTCTAGTGTTCTTTCTATCATTTAAATTCTTATGTTTATACATTTTTCCAGCAAAAATGATTTTAAATCGAGCTCATCTTGAGCCGAGCTTGTACTCAGCTTAACAAGCTATGTTAATGAGCATTTATCGAGCTCTACCGAGTCGAGCTTGAGCTAGATTATTTTTATTCAAACCGAGCTCGAGCTCGAGCTGGATTATCAAAATTCGAGTTCGAGCCGAGCTCGAGCTGAAAAATTAATAAACGAGCCGAGCTCAAGCTAAGCAAAAACTCGACTCGACTCGGCTCGTTTGCAGCCCTAGTTGTCGCGTCGAATGACGACATCGGAGTTGCAAGCAGTAAGGGAAGTAGGCATAAGAGGAAGCTAGAAGCAACATTGTGGGGATCCGGTAAAAAGGACGTTGGTTGCTAAACAATGGTGTGGTACTGGTATGTGTTGATTTTGGAAATAGAAAGAGTATAACCGAGGAGAAGCCATGATGAAAAAGAGATTAGGGATTCGCAAAAGGAAGGTTCGAAATAACAACTCGACTTATATTAAACTTATGTAATTTTATGATTAAAATGGGAACGGCTACGGTGCTAATTGTACAATAGTTAGCACCGTTCTAACCAAGAGAAAAACTACTATTAGTTTGAATTAGTAGTGATTTAGCTTAGATGTTGTATTGATTTTATAATAATCCGTAGTGATTTTTGCTAGTTATCACGGTGCTACCCCTATAAGGGTTAGCACCTAATCCCATCCCGATTAAAACTCAACTGAATGGTGAACTGGGTTAACTAATATTAAACAAAATTGTATGAAAAAAAGTATTCTTTTATCGTCGCGATCCACAATATAATTAAGTTTTGTTAATACTAACCTTAAACAATAAATCCCAAAAAATACAATGAAGGGCAAAATTCAACTAATTTAGATTTTGACTGTTGCTCTGACCTACTCATATTTTCCAAAAGAGCGTAATATATGATGCACTGGAGGAGTCAAAGGAAGTTGTCTCATTAACGTTGGTTATGTTTATGGAGAATGGATTTTGGTTCAGTCACCAAAATTATCCGATAATGTGATCCATCATAGGTTGGATCATACCACGAGTAGAACATTTTTTTTATGAAGAATATATTAGTTGATTGCTTAGCTTGATTTTCACCACACCAAATCACCTAAATTGAATAGATGATAATTTTAACCAAGCTAAACCAAATTAACCGGATGCTTTAAATCAAAATGATCTGTAATCTATAATCTATCTATATCTATCTGTATCTATCTATCTATATCTATATCTATACTATATATTATGTCAATTCAAAAATAACTTCATGCTACATAAGCGCTTGAAGAATTTACAAGTTGCCAAAGTGGACAATTTTTTTACTAAAAAACAATTTTATTATTGATCTATTTATGAAGCTCTCTCTTCTTTTAATATTTATAAACACTTTTACTAAACATTAATAATAAGTTACATTTTGATGAGAATGTAAACAAAAACATGCATAAGTAATAATATTTTTGTCAATTAAACAAAATATAACTATGAAAATAGAGAATAACATAAATCATGTTTGTTTAAAAAAAATATGATTAAATCTTCTAAATAATTATCTACTCATTCTAAGCAAAACTTAATAATAAGTTATATGTTTATGAAAATTTTAAAGAAGTAAACACATAAATGTAATGATATAAAAAACAGAACAAGCGTTTGACAATTAATCAAATTTGAAAAATGAATTATATGACTTTATATATTAAACACTCTCTTATTTATAATATACTGTCTACCAAATAAAATAATTGTTATATAGCAAAAGGTTTGAATATAAACTTGATCGAGCAATAATAATTATTTTTAAGAATTTTTATTCATCCCGATGAAGTAAAAAAAATATTCATATTCTACCTGAAATTTCTCAAATAATGAGGAATCGCATTTGCAATTTTTTATAATTTTTTTTAAGTTCACATTAAAATATTTGTTTTAGATCATTTTGGTTAGCAAGCTCTATTGAGGTTATAAGTCGTATGCTCATAAATTTTCTTTTCAGATTTAGAGTTATTTTTGAGGATTATCATCAAAGTTTTCAAAATGACTTTAGTATGAGTTTTGACGAAATTTAACTTCATACCTTAAGACGAGACACAAGATACCTTAAAAAATGACAAGTGTGAAGTTTAAAGAAATCTTTGTTGAGAATATACGATAAACATCACATATCATCAATCACTGACCTAGGCTTCTAGACATTGATCAAATAAGGGTTGACAATTTTCATTTAATAGTTGAATGTCTTGATAGACAAATCAAAATTCAAGGATTAAGACAATAAATAAACATCAGTGTGTTAGTTGAGATATCTAAAAAATATTTTTTTTTTATATAGTTACAAGAATCTAAATCAAGGTATTGAGTTAAAATCAAGAATCTCTAATAAGGATGTTTAATAAAACAATTGTAATGCGTCATTTGGTTATATGATTGTGAGTCTATGACTCCATGCCAACTCTTGACAATAATAAATACTTTTTCAATATCAAAGTCTCAAAATTGAAATATTTTATTTTTTAACAGTAAGCAATTTGTATTTGCAATAGATTTGTCTACAATACATCCAAGAATTCAAATGTATGTGAAATATCACATATTGGTATGAATTTTTAAAATTTATATAAATTTCAAAAAATTATAAATCATCATTAATTATTATTATAGGAATTTAAAACTAAATTAGTGTCATATAAGCGCATGGCTAGCTCTCACCCTTCCACAATGGACAAGTTCTAAATTTTTGCTTATGTACTTTTTTGTTTGCTCTTCAAACTGCCATCCTTATCATTAAAATTGAAATTAAGTTAATAACAAGTAATGCAACAGTTTGATTTGTTCCTATCCATTTTCGTATACAAATTCTCTTTATAAAAATAAAGTCTAACATTGAAATTAAGAAAATAAAGAAATTGGATCAAGCCCCATAAAAACAAACAAACCTCTCTTCTTATTTGCTCAAAATGTTGAGATTTCTAGCATTTCTCTTCTCTGCTTTTTTGCAAATAGATAAAGAGAAGGAAATAGTAAGACATATGGAGTTTTTACTCTTTGTAGGAGAATATGAGGATGCAGTTACATGAGGAAATGATTAGATGCGAAACAATTGAGCAACTGTAACATGTGTTTTCCTATGGACAAAAAAGTTCATCCTATCATTGTAAAGACGAATCAAACGAAGTCGAGGATTGCTTATTGCTCCCTCTTCCCCCCTTGATCTGCAGCTGACAATTGGTCTCTTTTCCCTGGAGATATGTGGTTGTTCGCGGTTGACTGACCAAGTTAAACTCTTCTTTCATTTGTTTATTAATTTCTTTCAGATTACAACGGATGGATGGTAAATTTTGCAAGTTCAATTCAGCGGATGTATTTCTTCTTCGTTTTGTAGGTAGTTGTTTTATGGTTCTCTATTATATTGTATACTTTTATGTAAACATGTAAGAAATAAATGGAAGGGTTTATTGCTTGGACTTAGATTATCTCTCCTTTGATTATGTTCGTGAGTGGCATGATACTAGCTAGCTATATAATTATGATCTGGTCAGTAAGTAGTATGTAGCAGAGGGTTATAAGTAGAAGGGAACACATGTGGGGTTTTATAAAGGTGCAAAGAAGAAAGAAAATGGTGGTGGTGGTCTAAGTTGTCCATGTCGACGTTCTTTCAATTTCTGTGTGTTTGCAATGACATTTGTTTGTTTTCTTAGCGTGAATTTTGGCCTAATTGAATCCCTATCTAAAGTTTGATAGCCTGGTCATTTTCTTAACAACAAATATTTGGATTGATGCGTCAATCATGTTCATGAATGAGGACTCTGCAAGATACAATGAGTTGAGTTTTATTGAAGTATTCAGCTTTTACATTTCGTCAATGTTGTTATTAGGTAAAAAACAACATTGTTTTTTGCAGGGGTATGTAACTCTCTACAAAATATAAATTGTGTTTATATGTGGAAGTATAGTCATTATTGGGGGAAAAATCCCACTGTACACTAGTTATTAAAAAAAATTCCCAAAATACATAAGTTATAAAAAAATTTCCAAAAGTACACATGTTTGAGCATCACCGTTTTAGACAAAGGCGGTGAAGGTTATCACCGCGTTTAATAAACACGGTGAAAACTTCACCGTTTTAAATTAAAACGGTGATGCCTTCACCGTCTTAGTCTAAAACGGTGAATGCATCACCATTTTAAACTGAAACGGTGAAAGAATCACAGTTTTAATCAGAAACGGTGAGGACTTCACCGTTTTTGTTGGCCGCGGTGAAGTCGCTGACGTGGACAGACACGGGGTATTCACCGCGTTAGACAAACACGGTGAATACCCCGTGTTTGTTTGCGTCAGCGATCCGCGCCAGTGTGCTTTCACCGTGGCCGTTAGATGCGGTGAGGCGCGGATCGTGGTTTTCTTCCCACGATCCGACGCCTCACAGCACGCCACGTGGACGGGGGAACCGTTTTTGGGGAATGCGAGGCCTTCACCGCGTTCATCAAACGCGGTGAATGCTTCCCCAAAATTACTGCGCATCAGCTCCTCCCCCCTTCCCCCAACTATAAATACCCCCTTCCCCTTTCACTTTCAACTCACCCCACAAACATTTCACTTCTTTCTCCCTCAATTTATCCGCTCTAGTCTCGTTCTAAGTATGCTCTGTGGTTGCGGCTAAGTCCGATCTTCCACATCAGAAAGAATTACTAGAGTTTGACCCTAAAGCCCCCGTCCCGCTAAGTTCCCGTCCCTTACAAACCTAAACCCGTCGAACCTCTGTCCGGCTTCCGCCAATAATGGACGAAGAGGCTCTTCGTGTAGGTTTTTGGTTTATGATTTTTTTTAATCGAAACAATTTGATTTTTTTTTTATCAAAACAATCTCTGATTTCATTACTTTTTTATAGATGGGTGCCGAGATATACGATCCTCGATTGTATATCCATTATGGCCCAAGGGATGCGAGTCTCTTAACCGATCAAGAAGCTCATCGCTCCCGTGCCATTTGGGATAACAATCCGGTAATTTGATGAACTGACTTGCTTTATTTTATTATTTTCTAATGTTTTATTTTGCTTTATTTAATCTAATAAATTGATGTTTTTCCTATTTTTTTTAGGAATCTCTTGTTCCCGTGGTTCATAAAGGGACCAATAACTTGCCCGCTTGGCATCCAAGGTTGGAGCCCTATATAGCGAGGACCGGTTTGGGAATGTTGCGCCATTTCTTGCGGATCGAGATCGACAATGATCTGCTTACGGCAATGGCGGAACGATGGCGTCCCGAAACCCATACATTCCACCTTCCGGAGGGGGAAATGACCATCACCCTCAAAGACGTGGCGATCCTCACCGGGCTTCCTATATCTGGAGATGCCATCATTGGGAACACGACCAAACCCGGAGAAGGTTGGGGGCCGCTCATCCGTGATCGTTTGGGCTTCGACATGCCGACCACCACACCAAATCAAGGACGGGGGCATCCACCGTTGAATGCGGGGCAAGTGTCGGTCCCGTGGCTGGTATCTCACATCTAGCAAGAGGTGGAAATCAATGACGAGACACCGGAAGAACAAGTCGAGCGCTACGCCCGCATCTACCTCATCGGTTTGGTGGGTGGATTTTTGTTCCCCGACAAGTCCAACCGGTGGATTCAAGGCATATGGTTGCCATTGCTCACCGGTGACTGGGATGCAATTGGAGAGAAGAGTTGGGGATCGGCCGTGCTAGCGGGCGTATACCGGGAGCTGTGTACTTGCTCGAAGGTTGGGGCAAAGCAAGCTGGTGCTCCGATGTTCATCGTTCAACTGTGGGTATGGGAGCATCTTCCAATGTTCGCACCTCTCGACCCACGTCCATACCGGAGAAACAATGATGAGCTCAACCTTCTGCAAAATCTCCCCTACGGTGTCAAGTAAGTTTATTTCGTACTTAGCCCAATTTAAATTTTATTACATGCTTGAGCTAGATTTAAATTGAATTTATTCCGTACTTAGCCCAATTTAAATTTGATTACATTAGCTAGATTTAAATTGAATTTATTCCGTACTCAGCCCAATTTAATTTTGATTACATGCTTAACTAGATTTAAATTGAATTTATTCCGTACTTAGACCAATTTAATTTATTATATGCTTAGCGATATTTCAATTAAATTGATTCCGTACTTTTACTTACAAGGTGGATAGGAGCAAATACGAATGACCATCAACCTGAGCATTCGTTACTGTTTTATCGTTCTGAGTTAGATAAACCATGGTGGAATCAGGTAATCATGTTTTGTCCATATTTGAACAAGTTCAATTTTATCAAAGTAAATGGTCGTTAATTCCGAATTTTTGAATGAATATAGGTTATATGGGATCCATATCCACGTGAAGTGGTTGAGCTGCATCATCTTAGGCACCCTCTGGATCACGAGACGTGGTTGTGCAAGGTGCCATTGATCTGCTGGCACATTGTGGAATGGCACCTACCCGATCGATCCCTGAGGCAATATCGAATGGAGCAACCAATTCCACAAGACCCGCCAGCAGGTTTCAGGGAGCTACATGCTATGGACCTCCGAAACAATGCAAACTGGCAGCTAAAGCATGGATTCTACATCAACATCTGGGAGAATCGATCCCAATGGGTGGTGCAAGGGATGCCGGAGACGAGACCGATGGGCTACCACGATGGGTACATGCAGTGGTATCGGAAGTTCACCCTGAGATGGGTGTCAAAGCAAGGTGCTGTGATGGGTTCGTTGGTAAGTCATCCTAATCTCCCTCATTCTAAAATATATTTATTTTAAGGTTTACTTAATTTGATATATTTTGTGCTTTCCTTAGGTTGATGGTTTGGAACACGCGAAGTACACTCTCGAAAGTGCTCCAACCATGGATGAGCGGAAGACTACTTGGTTGACCCGACTTATGAATAACCTCCTGAGTTGCACCAGAGAGCAAAGGAAGGATGTCGTGGCCTATCCTCCCGTTCCTGCCCCGGCACGACCCTCATTCCGTGATGATGCAGCCATTGTGCCCCCGGTTGAGCCCCCACGAAGGAGCAAACGCAGGCCTTTGCCTACGTTCGAAGAGGTGCGTACCACTCAAGCAACCGAGATCCCTGAACCGTTCGAGTACCAGTGGGCACCTACAGCGGAAGCCGGTGGAGGGTCATCGAGTCGTGGAGCATCTCAGGAGTGGGACACTTTCTCTCATGGGTTCTCTCAATTCCAACATCAGCAACAGAGTTCGATGTATCAGACCCCGCAACAACAAACTCCGCAACCTCCGATCATTCGCCAAGCTACCGCTCCATCTCAGCCACCACCACCACCATATGTAACCCCAGTTGGGGCTCGGGTCAAGAGAAATCCGCGACCAGCCGTTGAGCGAGCCCGCCAAGAAGCAGCGGCGGAGGGGGGAAGAAGGGGTCGAGGACGTCGTGGAGGACGAGGAGGAAGAGGTGGAGATGGGGGCCAAAATGAAGCAAATGAGTGAATTTATCGTTTTATCCTGCAGTAGTGATCTATCCATGTTGTTTTGGTTAATTTTAGGTGTTGTTATTTGAGTTTGCATTGTCTAAAAACTATCCTACGCACTTAAGTTGTCGAATGAATTTTCTGGATCATTTTATCAAGAATCAGTATCTTCCCTCAACACGAAAAAGTTGGGAAAATCAACCACGATCGCATAGAATTTTACAGATCCCAATTCCGAGTCCAAACGAGTGAGATAAGTGACGTCAAAGCGCGATCGTATCGTTAAAGTAACTTTTGCGTACTAAAAACTAAAACGCGCGTATCTTATTCGTTTGAGGTCGAAATAACGAGCCGTTTGCGGCAGCGCGATCGTATCGACAAGGAAAACATTTTAGAGTTAACAAAATACTTGGACTTCAAATGCAAACGGTAATGAAAAAATAAACAAGCGATCAATTTAGTAAGCAGAATACAAGTAAATGCAAATTAAGTTGATGGTTGTCCTGGGCAACGCCTCTTGTCGTGACCAGGTTGTCTGCACTTAGAGCATCGCTTCGGTCCCCTTCTCGTCCGTTCAACTTGATCCATCTCATTGTGTATCCTTTCAACTCTAGGACGGCCTTTGGTGCGTTTTAGGTGCAACGGTGGGATAATCAACTTTCCAGCGTATATAGGCCAATACGCTTCATCTGGCATGGGGCTCAAAGCTGCATTATATGAGTTCCGTATCGCTTGTTCAGTGTAGTAAGGACTCACCAGGCTGTTTCTATTCATGGTTATTGACTTAGCAACCGCCATTGCATGTGAACAGGGTATCCTTTCGTTCTGATACTTTTGACAAGAACACTCCCCTAATTCGTAGTGCAATTTAACCGTTTGACGATTGTGACCACGTCTCCCTCCACCCCATATACCTGTTTCGACAGCGAATATTCCTTCACTGCGGTTAAAAAGAAAAACCTTATGCTTACTTGATTTTTCATCGTTCTTCTGCATTTGAGCGAATACGTCATGTGCTACTGAATGACCTTGCAACTCCCTCCCTATAGCTAGCTGTAGCCGAGCAACTCGCCACTCGTTGACCTTCCAATAAGACATTTCCACGATGACAGAAATAGGCATCGCTCGAAGACCCTTGTACACATTATTTATACTTTCTCCATGGTTGGTAGTTGCAATGCCCCATCTGGCCCCGTTGTCCATATGGAACGTCCACATGGGCAACTCTTGACCTTCAGCCCATACTGCTCCAGCTCGGTGGGTCTGACGGATCGTTTTCATCTTCTGCTCGTACTTTTTTGGTTGATGTGCAACCGCTAAAAGGTGAACAAAAGACTAACTGGTTAATACATGATGAATAACATCAGCTTATCAGCTTAATAAACACAAACTTAAATCGCATAAGAAAAACATTAGTACCTGCATTCCAAAGTAGATTTTTGATGTCTTTCTTCTTCCCAAATTTGTGTTGGAAATTGGCGAGCCAGTGTCGAATACACCATCTCCATCTCCACCCCCGCTCGTCGGGAAAACCACCAACAGCATTCCTTATCCCCGCATGTCGATCGGATATAATCGTAATATCTTCCCGCTGTGTCACGTGTTCGTGCAGTTGGTCAAAGAACCAAGCCCAACTTATGCTGTTCTCCCCTTCCACTAATGCAAATGCAAGCGGGAAAATCCGCCTGTTTCCATCAACGCTAGTGGCAATTAGAAGACATCCTCTGTACTTCCCAGTAAGGAAAGTTCCGTCAACCTGAATAAAAATTTAGGATATAATTAGTATGAAATATACTTAACAGCAAATAATACAACATTTAAAACCGGAACTAGTTGGTAAAATACCTGAATAACCGGTATGCAGAACCCAAAACCGTCAATGCATGGTTTAAAAGCCCAAAAAAGACGATGGAACATCAGCTTATCCTGTACTCGAACTTGATCCTCACTGTATACATTGTTGTATACTGGGACGAAAACAGTCCCAGGATTGGACTCCTCCATTGCTCCCATAAGTCTAGAGAGTAAAGCATACGAATCCTCCCAATTACCATACACCTCAGCCATGGCTTTCTGCTTACCATGCCATGCTTTTTTGTACCTTATCGTGTAAGAATGTCGATCCTTCACCTCTGCCATGATAGCTTTCACCTTGATATCTGGTTGTGCTTCTATAAGGTGCTTAATAGTTCTCCCAACCTTCTTTGCTTTTAGTTGCCTGTGATCTTGGGAAAGTATAGAAGAGGAGCATGTGTGGATCGTCTCAGCTTTGCGAATCACCCAAGCACCCTTTCTCTTCATATTTGCAGCCCGCAGTTGCCACGTACAACCCTCTGCATCATGCTTGCATATGACATGTAGTTGTTTACTGTCAGAATATTTTACCTTCCACACGAAATTGCGCCTCAACGCCTCTTCTGTAAAAGCATCCTGCACAGC